GAAAAAATAGACAGTTTTTCAAAGCAAAACCCTCAGAAAGTTCTCAAAATCTAGGAACTCCAAAGTCTGCAAAAAATAAGGGATCTGGCGGGCAGTGATTTATTAAATAAATATGCTAAAAAAATCAATTATTTCACAGATACAACGCTTTGGAACTTAAAGTCGTGCAGCTAATTTTAAACGGGGTAAGCTTGTTCTCTTCTAAAGATCGAAGATTCACTCAAAATCAGTGGGACAACCAATCTCTCTACGATCTTTCTCACGTTTTACTGGCAAATTGATACTGGCACCGGGAGTCACCAATAATCTTCTACAACCCCCAGCTGTCTTCGCTCTCAAACAGAGATCCAGTCGCAGAGAAATTTTACTTCTTTCTCAGCTACATTCACAAATGCTGTAGCGACTGGTGGTCAGCCTTCTGACGATCCTGGCATAAGTCTCATCCCTTTTAAAGGACTGCAATTTCAGCTATCCTCGAAAAAGAAGCATTTTGCAAAGCTTTAGACGTTAACAGCCGATTTAAACATTTGGATTGCAGTAACATTATAAGCCAATACAAGTTTCATCAGGTAATCTGCATGAAAGCATACGTATGTATAGGGAGGTAGAAATCATTAAGGAAGCGAAAAAATATCAAAAAAAAAGTATCACTTTTAGCAAAATATCACTTTCCCACCACTCCAATTCGTAGATTCTCGACTGGGAGAGAATGCTACACCGTCCAAGCTTTCATGATCTTCATCGAGATGGTGTTTTTGGATTTGCAGGAATGTAAGAAACACAGAAAAAATAAATGTGAATAATAATGAAAAACACTGAGGAACAAAAACCAATGAAAACCACATAAAAATACAAAATGCAAGCAGTGAGGAGCAGCACATTAATCTACAAATAAAAGTGCTCACCAGTAGGGAGTTCCAATGAATGTATTCCTACGTCCAACGGTCCTATCCAACTGAGCACTTACACCGAAATCGACCAGTTTCACTTCACCGCTATCCGTAAGTAGAACATTTTGACCTTTGATATCACGATGAATGACTTTATTTTGATGCAAGTGATACAGTCCCTGCAATCAACAAATGCTAAAATATTAAAAATCCATGGACAGCTTACACCAGCAGATGAAGAACTTTTCCAGTCTCGCACTTTCTGGGAAATTCCTTCCGCCCAGTCCGCCTGCCGTGTATTAGCTTCGTTGCTGCATGATACCTGCATCTCATTTCTGCAGCCATGGATGAGGCCACTATGCATACACCACATGCATTGGTGCCTCATTTCGGAACAAGCTGCTAGAAACAGCATAGTTTTTTTATAACCCGGGCACCGACACATCAAACCTGCCGTACGATCATGCGTTTTTGCGCTAAACTTGAAGCAATCAAGCCGTTGGCACTGCGGATGGCGTGCACTTATTTTCTTACCGTAAATTCCGTACGAAGAAAAATAAATAACTGCTGGTAACCCCTTGTTCATTAAAAATGATTTCGCTGTTCAGGTTCCCGAGTTAGCAATTTTCCAACCAAAACCCCATGCATCTATACGTGAAAAACAGATGTAACTAAGGAGTCAATTCGAAATCTTTGGGTCCCAAACGGAAATTTCTGTCCCCTCCTAAATTATCTAAACTTTTCTTATCATTTCAGCCCCTAACTTACCCTAAATTTTTCTACCAAAACTTTCACGTGCCCGCACATCAGAAAACAAGTGTACTTATGCACTATATTTGAAATCTTTAAATTATACAAGGAATACCTCCTTGAAATTTCAGCTTCCTACCTTACCTGGTTTTCCAGTCAACACAATAAGTGATGTTAAAGTGAAGTTATATCGCTAATTCAAGCCAGAAATGTAAATTTTAGCAAATTCAGTTGAGATCGATCCAATCCTAGCTGAAAGTGGTAAAAGCGGACACATGCGCAACTTTATGTGATTTATAAGCACCACAGTTCTCAAGCCTACAAGTCGTTCCCACCAACTTTTTGTCAAGATTTTGACTGAACGAAAATGGCAACGAAAATGGCCACAGAAATGGCAACCGGGGATTGAGTGGTACAATTTTTGTAAAAATTCACAAAAAAAAGGCAAATTCGGGAATGGCAAAATTACCCGAAGAATTTCGCGACATATGTAAGCGATCCAATCTTCCTTCAGAGAATTGCTCTTGGTGCTTTTGACAAGATCAGTGACCGAGCCGCTGCCACAGAATTCCATCACCAACCACAGCTGGTCCAGCTTTCCCGTCGATGAAGGCAGTTTCTTGATGAAAGCCCCGTAGTAAGTCGCGATATTTCGATGGTGTGAATACTGCAACGAATTTTTTCGATTATAACTCAGTCTAGTGAGGAATGTAATAAACTAATTTAGCCCGGGACTGCTAGCAGGCTAGCTACAAGGTTATGCGGCTTCTTCTTCCATCTGCAGCGTACACTGCGTGTCAGTTTTTGTGCTAATCCTCCCTCGCTTTGGCCATGAAAACATGTCCCGTGGTCCGATTTCCAGATTCCTACGAAATACGCATGCAAAGCGGCATATTATCGCATTGCTACAGCCAGCACAAACGCATATTGTCGAGAGTCACTCGGAGAACGCAAAAACGAATCGAATGGAGAAGTTACCAGGTGCATCGATGGCATGACAACGGACTTCGATGACATACAGCTGCTCAAGTATTCAAGTATTCTCTGCCCGCGTACACTCAAATGACTTTAAATTCAGCCTATATAAATTTTGTTCAGTTATACTAAAATATGAGGGGCCTATAGATTGCAGCTGCTGAACTTTCAAGCAAAGCAGGCCCAATGGCCGAGTTAACGTCTGTGCTAATGCTAAAATTTGTATTAATCGGTGTGAAAAGCATTTACTTATTGTTACCGTAAAATATTTTGGGGATATTAATCACGATACATACACAAAAAAATATAAAATTATATCGAAAAAATGGACCAACAGGAATGCCTCTGCCCATCAAGTTGTAGACATTTCTGTGCAGCACTACAACTCAACCTCGTCAGTACGGCGATTGTGATGATTATAAAATAAGTACTAATGCTGTAATTAACTAATTTGTACTAGTCGGTTTGAAAAGCATTTACTTATTGTTATCGCAAAGTATTTTGGGGATATTAATCATGATATATGTACAAAAATATAAAATTATATCAAAAAACTGGACGAACAGGAATGCCTCTGCCCATCAAGTTGTAGACATTTCTGTGCAGCACTACAACTGGATCTCATCAGTACAGCGACTGTGGTGATGATAAAATAAATAAAATAAAATTTATTCTCATAAGAGAATTCGTTACAGTGCATTTCGGTGGCTTGCTTTTAGCGTTTTGTGAGGAGAATGTTTGAAATTTTCCCTTTTCTTTGCTTGCAAGATCGTGGATTAGAGATTGTAAAATAGGATTTTACATAACAGCCACACAGCCATGACAGGAGAGCCAGCAATTCAAACGGCATATATGCGCGCTACGAAAAAAACGACAGCTGATCTAAGTATTGGAGTATGCACTTTGCAAAACAATCGACATTCCGATCGACTACGCAAAAAAACAAGCAAAACAGATTACACTAGAAATGCAGGTAATGATCTTTGAAAACAACGCTGGCACAATTCTATTAAAAACTGCAATGTTACCTTTTTTAACATATTGATTTCCATCTTGATTTCTTCCTCCTCATCCTGAAAATGCCATTCAAAATGATTTATAAAAATTCTTCACTGACTCCGCACGAAAATATAAAACATAGGGTCAAACAACAGAAATACGTCGTACACACTTATATAAAAACCCACATACAAACCTGAATACTTATATACATATATACATACATATATACATACATATATACATACATATATACATACATACATACATACAT